AGGTGATCCCACCTTGATCCACCTGATCTGAGCTGGTATTTGTGGCTCTGGGCAGGGAATGTGGTGGCTGGTGATGCTTTTCCTTGGCCTGCGGGTGGGAGATGTCCCAGCTGGGGCACGGATTTCATCCTCCTTCGTGGACCAATGGAAAAACCTCCTGAGCTTGGGCAGGGATTGCTCCATTGGGAGGATGGAGCAGCTCCCGCTGTCCATCAGGATCTGATCCGATGTCCTGAGGCAGGAGGATCCCTGTCCTCACCCAGGGACCCACCAGGGCTGCTGCTGGCACATGCCAGCTCCTGGTGCCACCAGCACGGCAGCAGGGCCACCCCACGGCGTGGCTGGAGTTGCCACTTGTGGCACCTCCAGCTGATTAATTTTTCCTCGTCGCTTTCCGAGCGCTTTGCGAGGGTAAATGCAGCAGGTCCCGGGGCTGGGGTGGGCACAGGCCAGGCTGGGGCGGTGGCGCTGGCTGCGGGCACTGTCCCTGGCAGGACAGAGGTGCCGTGGCTGCCGTTTATTATTCCGGGCAGGTTCAGCTGCAGCACCGGCTCCACCGCTCCTCGCCAGCTCCTCCTGCCTGGAGCCCGCACGCTCCTTCCTCCCCTCACACTGCTCTCCTTCCTCCCCTCACACCCCACTCCATCTTCCCCTCACACCCCGCTCCTTCCTCCCCTCACATGCCTCTCCTTCATCCCCTCACACCCTGCTCCTTCCTCCCCTCACACTCTTCTCCTTCCTCCCCTCACACCCTACTTCTTTGTCCCCTCACACCCCACTCCATCTTCCCCTCACACTGCTCTCCTTCCTCCCCTCACACCCCGCTCCTTCCTCCCCTCACACCCCACTCTTTCCCCTCACACTCCCCTCCCTTGTCCCCTCACACTCCTCTCCTTCCTCCCCTCACTCCGTGTTCTTTCCTCACACTCCTCTCCTTGCTCCCCTCACACTCTTTCATCCCCTCACACCCCACTTCCTTCCCCTCACACTCCTCTCCCTTGTCCTCTCACATTTCTCTCCTTCCTCCCCTCACACTCTTTCATCCCCTCACACTCCTCTCCCTTGTCCCCTCACACTCCTCTCCTTCCTCCCCTCACACTCCTCTCCCACCTGGGCTGTTTTCATCCCTCAGGGAGCGCTTGTTCCTCTCCAGGGCCTGGGGCTCTGGGAATGGATTCCCAGAGTGAAGGACAGAACCCGCTGGAGTCACTGGGATCTCCTCAGAGCGATGGCTCTGATCCGGGTGGATCCTTCCCAGCTCGGCCAGGGAGCCGTGCTGGTGGGATGGGGCAGGTTTGGGAACGGGGCTGTGATCCCAAAAGGGCTGCGGGAGGATGCTCAGAGCAGACAGGAGCCATCCCACACCTCGGTCCCAGGCTGGGATTGCAGGGTGGGACACAGGGATGGTGCCGAATACCTCCTTTCCCCGCAGGACAGAGCAAATTCCAGGCTGGAATCTGACTGTGGGACAGGGATGGTGCTGAATCCCTCCTTTCCCTTCAGGACAGAGCGAATTCCAGGCTGGAATCTGTGGGACACAGGGATGGTGCTGGGTCCCTCCTTTCCCCTCAGGACAGAGCGAATTCCAGGCTGGAATCTGTGGGACACAGGGATGGTGCTGGGTCCCTCCTTTCCCGCAGGACAGAGCGAATTCCAGGCTGGAATCTGTGGGACACGGGGATGGTGCTGGGTCCCTCCTTTCCCCTCAGGACAGAGCGAATTCCAGGCTGGAATCTATCTGACTGTGGGACACAGGGATGGTGCTGGGTCCCTCCTTTCTCCTCAGGACAGAGCGAATTCCAGGCTGGAATCTTGCAGTGGGACACAGGGATGGTGCTGATCGCTGCCCCCTGAGCTCTGTCAGGGGTAATTAAGGGCTAGGCCGTTACAGTATTAATTAACTGTCTCCCTCTTAACCTCTGAGCACTCCTCAGACAGCGCCGGTTGCTACGAAAGAGAAGGAAATGAGCGTGGTGGGGTGGGGGAATTAGCGTTTTTTCTCTTAATCAGCAGGAGCCTGCTTAATTGGGCCTGCCACCTCCTGCTTCCCGCTGCTGGGAGCTGCTGCCTGGCAGGGATGGATGAGCTCAGCTCCACGAGGAGCCGTGGGAGAACGGGGCTGGGGATGGGCAGGGATCCATCCCTGCTGGATGGGGCAGGAGCAAAGCTCTGGGTGTCCCGGGAGCTGCAGTGTCCCATCTGTGTGTCCCATCCCTGTGTCCTTCCATCCCTGAGTCCCATCCCTGTTCTCCCCATCCCTGTGTCCCCATCCCCGTGTCACCATCCCTGTGTCCTATCTCTGTTCTCCCCATCCCCATGTCCCATCCTCGTGTCCTGTCCCCGTGTCCCAATCCCTGTGTCCCCCATCCCTGTGTCCCCCATCCCAGTGTCCCCATCCCCATGTCCCCCATACCCATGTCCCAATCCCTGTTCCCCATCCCTGTGTCCCATCCCTGTTCTCCCCATCCCCATGTCCTATCCCCGTGTTCCCCCATCCCCGTGTCCCCATCCCAGTGTCCTGTATCCCATCCCTGTGTCTCATCCCAGTGTCCCCATCCCCTTGTCCCCCATACCCATGTCCCAATCCCTGTGTCCCATCCCTGTTCCCCCCATCCTGCCGTGCTCCCCGCTCCCTGCAGCTGGAGCACGGGTCCCTCCCGAGGTGGGGACACTGCTGAGGAGGGGACACTGACAGTGTCACTGCTGTCCCCGAGGTTCGGTTGGTGCCTGTGGTGCCCTGATAACGCCGGGAGCTGCCCTGGGGGTGCTGCTGGTGGGATAAGGAGGGCCAGGCAGGGAGGGTTCGGTTCTTTGGGCTTCTGCTGCTCCAGAGATTGAAAAGTCCCTGGGGCTGGAATTGGGGCAGTTTGGGGCAGTCTGGGGGGCAGCCCTGGAGCTGGAATTGGGGCAGTTTGGGACAGGGCAGTTTGGGATAGCTCTGGGGCTGGAATTGGGGCAGTTTAGGATGGCCCTGGAGCTGGAATTGGGGCAGTTTGGGACAGGGCAGTTTGGGATAGCTCTGAGGCTGGAATTGGGGCAGTTTGGGATGGCCCTGGAGCTGGAATTGGGGCAGTTTGGGATGGCCCTGGAGCTGGAATTGGGGCAGTTTGGGACAGGGCAGTTTGGGATAGCTCTGGGGCTGGAATTGGGGCAGCTCTGGGGCTGGAATTGGGGCAGTTTGGGATGGCCCTGGAGCTGAAATTGGGGCTGTTTGGGACAGGGCAGTTTGGGACAGATGTGGGGCTGGAATTAGGGCAACTCTGGGGCTGGAATCAGAGCAGTTTGGGATAGCCCTGGAGCTGGAATCAGGGCACTTTGGGACGGGCAGTTTGGGATGGCCCTGGAGCTGGAATTGAGGCAGTTTGGGATGGAGCAGTTTGGGATGGCGCTGGGGCTGGAATTGGGGCAGTTTGGGACACCCCTGTGCTGATTTGGTGCCTTTCTGTGGGGTTTGTGAGGGCTGGTGCTTCCCGTGTGTTCTGGGATCAGCCGTGGACGTTCTCCCTCCCCATCCCTCCCCAGGCTGCTCTGCCACCCCTGGGCCCCGTCTGGGGCGGATGCTGCCTGTTCTTTATTTATTTTGCCCTCAGAAAGATTTTATTTTCTCTCCATGAGAGCCTCTCCTCGCAGCCTTTTTGCCTCTGGAGTGCCGGCAGCTTCCCTGGAGCTTGAGAACACAGCTAACCCTGGCTGACAAAAAGCCCTTTTCCCCTCTGGCCTGTGCTGTTCCCTCCATGTCCCTGATTGTCCCTAGAACTCTGAAATGCCAGCAGGAAATCCCAGCCCCAAAATCCCTGAGGAATGGGGGAGCTGTGGGATGCTCGTGGTCCTTGCCTGGCTTGGTTGAAGTGTTTTAGGGGCTTGCTGTGGGGTTGTGACCCCAGGTGGCAGCTCTTGGGGACACTGAGAGCCACTCGCTGGCCTCAGGGAACCACCTCGGAACAGGAAAAGCCTCGATTTCCAACAAAATCCCAGGTTTTGGTGGCTTTTCTGCCACTTCCCTCTTCTCTTTCGTGGTTCCTGTGGCATCTCCCAGCCGATGTAGAGCCCATGGGGTGATGCAGCCCCTTTCCTATGGATATTGGGATAGTGGGATATTGGGATTTTTGGACATTGGGATGTCAGGAATTTTGGATATTGGGACATTGAGATATTGGGAATTTGGGATATTGGGGCATTGGGATATTTGGATATTAAGATATTTGGACATTGTGATTTTGGGATATTGGGATATCGGGAATTTGGGATATTGGAACATTGAGATATTGGGAATTTGGGATGTTGGGGCATTGGGATAGTTGGATATTGGGAATTTGGGATATTGGGACTTTGGGATATTTGAATATTGGGATATTTGGACATTGTGATTTTGGGATATTGGGATATTGAGAATTTGGGATATTGGACATTGAGATGTTGGGAATTTGGGATATTGGGACATTGGAATATCAGGATTTGGGGATATTTGGACATTGGGATATTTGGACATTGTGATTTTGGGGTATTGGGATATCGGGATATTGTGAATATGGGATATCGGGACATTGAGATATTGGGATTTTGGGAATTTGGCCTATTGGGACATCGGGATATTTGGACATTGTGATTTTGGGATATTGGGATCATTGCCTACCTGCTGGCAGGGCGGGGAGCGATGCTCCGGCCCCCACGTCCTGCCCAGGGGAGGAAGCAGCTGTTTCCCACTGCCGAGGGGTATTTTTAACCCAAAATCGACGGGAGGGTTTGTCTGGGCTGAAAGCGAAGAACCACCTGGGCTCCTCTTCCTGCCCGGCCCCGCAGCTGCGGCTTTCCCCTGCTCCACACCCCGAGCTCAACTTCTCACCCAGGAATTCCTGCCCAAACCACGCTGACACCGCATTCTCCCTAAAAATCCCCCCCGTGGGGTAGCACCTCTCCCTTGTCCCACCCCATGGGGCGCCTCGCTCCTTCCCAAGCCCTCCTAACGCCGATATTTTTGTTTCCCACGGTTGTTTTCGCAGCTCCAGTTGCTGTGGTATCCAGGGAGCCCTCCTCCTCCTCCTCCTCCTCCTCCTCCTCCCGCTGCAGGAGCTGCACGCCGGGCGTTGCTAAGGTCGCCTCCGCGGTAACATGCACATCCTGTTTACACCTTCATCCCGACAACTTGGGCTCGGATAGAGCCGCCCGTTCCCCCCGGGAAGCCCCCAGGGAAGGAGCCACACGGAGCATCCCCCACCGGAGCCGCCGGAGCCGCGAGCGAGGCCGCCCCAGGAGCGCCGCGCCGGTGGCACCGTCGCCGCGACAAGATGACGAACAACGTGGCCGACCACCACCCCGGGAACTCGGTGGCCGAGGGCAGCCATGAGGGGGACTTTGGGTGCTCCTTGGTGGAGCTCAGGAACCTCATGGAGCTGAGGAGCGCCGAGGCCGTGGCCCGGCTCAATGACTCCTATGGCGGCGTCCAGAACGTCTGCAAGAGGTTGAAGACGTCGCCGGTCGAAGGTGAGTGGCCCTGCCATGGGCTGGGGTTGTCACCTGTGGGGTTATCACCTCCAGGATGGAGACACATATGGAGGTGATGTCTAAGGGTGGTGGCTCCCACAGTCTGTGGTTGTCACCTCTGTGGTTGTCACCTCTGGGGTTGTCACCTCCAGGATGGAGACACATATGGAGGTGATGTCTAAGGGTGGTGGCTCCCACAGTCTGTGGTTGTCACCTGTGAGGTTGTCACCTCCAGGATGGAGACACATGGAGGTGATGTCCGAGGGTGGTGGCTCCCACGGTCTGTGGTTGCCATCTCTGGGGTTGTCACTTCCAGGATGGAACCATGTGAAGGTGACATTCAAGGGTGGTGGCTCCCACGATCTGGGGTTGTCAGCTCCAGCATGGAGCCATGTGAAGGTGACACCTGAAGATGGTAGCTTGCAGGGTCTGGGGTTGTCAACTTTGGGATTGTCACCTCCAGGATGGAGCCATGTGAAGGTGGCACCCGCAGATGGTGGCTGCCACGGTCTGGGGTTGTCACCTCCAGGATGGATCCACATGGAGATATCGTCCAAAGGTGGTCTGGGGTTGTCACCTCTGGATTGGAGCCATGTGAAGGTGACACTCGAGGGTGGTGGCTCTCATGATCTGGGATTATCACCTCCAGGGTTGTCACCTCCAGGATGGAACCATGTGAAGGTGACATCTGAGGGTGGTGGCTCCGGTGGCTGTCATGTGGCCTGGGGGTGTCACTTTTGGGATGGAACCACATGAATGTGACACTCGATGGTGTCTCCAGCGGCTGTCCCATGGTCTGGGGTTGTCACCTCTGGGATGGTCAGAGATGTGGGATCTGGCCTTCTCCGGCTGTTCCCTGTTCAATCATTTACGGAGTGGGAGGGGAGGTGTAAAGGTTGGAGGGCGCTGGTGAGGTGGCCGGGTGTTACCTGCAGCTGTTGGTGGCACTTTGGGTGATGGACAGGGACAGTGCGTCCCCAAAGGGGGTGGGGGATGCACCCAGGGATGGGGAGGTGGGACCAAGTCCCTCCTGGTCTGAGGGTGCTCCGAGGAAAACCTGGGCAGTGCAGCTGGGGTGGTGGCCGTGACACCTGGGGTCACCTCTGGAAGGATCTCAGGGTGGCACCTCTGCCCTCACGGTCTGGGCTGACTTTTGGGGTCCCCTCAGCAGCGGGGCTGGTGGCACTGGGGGGCACAGCAGCGGAGCCTTCCCTGGCACTGAGGGGGTGCAGGGGCAGAGAGCTCCTGATTCCAGCTCTGAGGGGTTTCCTGGAGCTGTGGGATGGGAACTGGGCCCTGGGGCTGTGGGATGGGGGCTCAGCCCTAAAACTGTGGGATGGGGACTTGACTGTGACAATCTG